AGTAAGAACATGTCTTGAGAAGATGAGTTACCCTGCTTCTTGGTTTGTTTTCTATCAGAAGCTCAGTAAAGTCTATTTGTCAGATATGGTCCTTTACCATTTGAAAGCAAGGAGGAATGGAGCCTAAGAGCAGGAATAATGAGAGGTCAACCTTGAATTTATGGATTCATTCTTTAAGTTACTTATGCATCCACTCAACACAAATGTACTGATGTACTCTGATCCAAGTCCTGTATGGGGACCAGGTGTATTTGAAGAGTATATGTTGAGTCCATTTATTCGATCAGCAAATATTTGAGAAACTTCTCACTGATTACCTAGAAAGGAGCAAGATAGGTAAGGTCCCTGCTCTCACTGGGTATACTCAATGAGAATTTCTTTTATAGATATCTTAAGTCACTTTATTTATAAAGACAGAGGCCATTCTAGCCTGCAGATATAAACCTTTGAGGATAACTTTCCTTGTTTACCAGCATATTTAATACCCATTGATCATTCTTATTCTTGAAATATCTTGCTTCTCACTGCCAGTGCTGAGCATGAACCCAGGATTCTATTCCATGTACAAGACGTAATTACTTTGCCCTTGGGTGACCATTTACATTAGTAAGTTTTCTTAAATGATAATCAACAAATAGGCAAACTTTCTCTAGAAGGTGTAGAATTACAACAGGTTAGACAGGAATGGAATCACAATCTATTTTTTTAAAAAAGGAAACGTTTTATGTGTTGTATATGTTTTGCCAGAAAGATGTCTTTAAAAACTCCTAAGCAAATATACATTACAGAACATTAAAGCGCAGAAGCATGTTGAACTTTTTTCTTTCACATATACGTAGTACAGATAACATATTGCCTCATTTTAGGAAGCCAGTATGCTAGAGACAAAGAAATTCCTTATCAAGGACTGGTATTCACATACTCCTGGAAGAGGTAAATACATGCTGCTACTCAACTTTATTCTATTTTCAGAACTAAAATTAAAAAAAGAGAGCCACATTTTTGTGAATTTTTAGAGCTATTATCAGATCTCCTGGAACTACATACCAATCAAATACCATCAAAGCTTTAGAAGTTATGCAGTCCAGGTAATAAAGATGTTCTGTAAATAAAATTGTTAACCAGCTACAAACTTTTAAACTTTTTTTTCAAAAATTCCATTTAAGAACCTTTCACCTTGACATGTTTCATGAATTGAAATAGTACATAATACAACATCTTATGTAGTGGATTTTTAAGTTGGCTTTAGTCATTTGAGTAACAATTCAAGATTTAACCTAAAGCTCAGTTTCACTGTCTTCAGGGGTCTTGGTATATTTTTGCCAGGGATAAAGCATTCCAGTCATTGTTCCTAATGGGCTGTCTGCTGCCAACTAATAACTACTTAAGTTACCAAGTATCATCAGGGGAAATCTCTTTCAGAAACTTCTGGGAACTAAAAAGATGTACATACTCAAATATCGTGCATTTCTCAATCCATTTTCAGGAACATTTTAAGTATTTATTTGAGGTTAGACAAAATAGTACATGATAATTTCCCATTCTGCAGAATTCACAAACTACCATACTTCTAATTTCAGAGAAAACATCCATTTTGCCAGCAAATTTTACCTTAACCGCAAAACTTAATTCTTCCTTCTGATGAAGCATTTGTGGCATTGTTACTACAATTAGAAAAGTTTAAAAGATTAATTCTGATTATAAATATAAAGGATCTTAGATTGGCTCCATTTCTTTTATTTATATGAAAGTTAGAAATGAAAAGCATACAAAGTTTGTGCACCAAAATACTATCATTCATGACCATGCATTATTCTCAAATTCCCCAAAGACTGTTTCCCCATTTTTTAATTTAAATGCTTCTTAAAATTTAGAACAGAATATCTAGTGGGGTAGGATTAACTTCACGTCCAAATCCATAAAATTATTTGTCTATTTCCTTGGGTTTTGGATTATATCAAATGTCAACCAATCCTTTATGAGGTCTTCACTTTTACACAATACCAACAGAGCTCAGATGATAAATAAGAGAATAAAATAGCAAATATATTTTTATAATTTAATTTACAAAATTATATAAATAACTGTATCACATGTCCATAATATGCTAGGCACTGTCCTAGGCATAAAAACACAATGGTGACTAGACAGATATGGCATTGCTCTCTTTAAGCTTTACAGCTTGTATTTTCTAAAAGAATTTATGCCCCATACTTGGAAAAGACAGAGAATAGATGCAGAAAAGTTCAATAAACAGAGTCAAAATACTAATGCCTCAAATTCCTACAATTTCTTCTAGTAATCTATATTTTTTCCTGCTGACAAAGATGCAATTATGTTCAAGTAGCTCTTTTACCTGTATAAATTATACATCACAAGACACACAAATGCATTGCTCAAATTCTTCCTTTGCATTCTACAAGGATTTTTATACTATCTATTTGAGGAATGCCTTAGCTGTTATCAGATACATGTTTTACCATCAATCACATTTACTATCAAAGGATTAATCACTTGTCATTTAAGGAAAGATACTTAATTTCAATATGTCCAAGTAAGATTATTTAAATCATTATGGAACCCGGTAAACAAGATGGGACTTAATCATGTCACTAAGTTTCACATGTAGTTTCACCTTTGAGAAGGTGCAAAAACAAAGCAGAACAAAACAAAAATACCTCATCGATAGTAATACTGGACACTGAAAAGATAAATATACATTAATTCTATTTCAATACACCATGTGGCTTATGTACTGCTCAGTTTGAGACAACCATATTTTTCTCTCTCCAACCACTGCTGTGGCTTACAATTTTTCTTAAGGATGGAAAAATACAAATTTGTAAAGGGAAGCACTCAATTATTAGAGCAACTCACACATATCCTCACTATTACCACTTTCATCAAAACACATTCATAATAAAACATCACCACTGGGAACACCAATCCATTTTCTCAGAAAAACTTGAAATACTGTTAAACTCCTCATTTTTTAATGTTCTTTCTTTCCATTTTTTTCATAATTTTGCATAAAAAATGTCATATTAAAAACTGTATACAGCACCTCGGTGGCTCAGATGGTTAAGCGTCTGCCTTCGGCTCAGGTCATGATCCCAGGGTCCTGGGATTGAGCCCCATGTCTGGCTCCTGGCTTGGCGGGGAGCCTGCTTCTCCCTTTCCCTCTGCCTCTCCCCCTGCTCATGCTCTCTCTCTCTCTCTGTATCTCTCTGTCTTAAATGAATAAATAAAATCTTAAAACAAAACAAAACAAAACTGTATACTCACCTCCCTGAATGAAAGCTAGTTTTATGGGTAGATGACACAGGGGCAGAATTGAGATAATATAAGTGGACATGTACTTCCCTGAGGGAAACTCACAGGGGTGCACACAAAGTTATACTGAACTGTTATCTGGCATACCAATGACAGAATTTTAGAATTAATAATAATCAAAATCAAAACAAAAACACACATACATGAAACAACCCTGAACTACAAGGGTATATTTAGAAGGCTCAGCATGCCAGAAACTTAATTTGTTTTATAAGACCACGAACTTTCCCCAAGTAATTTTTATATATTTCAATGGCATTTAAACTAACACACTTCAAAAATAATGCTACTGCATAATCATTTAAAAAGTAGTAAAGCTTTTCTATTGGCAAGGGAAGCCTTTTGGGATTATTTTTTAATGCACAGATACCACTAAAATACAAACCTATTTTTAATAACAATCACTAACATATTTTTTAAAGAATATCCAGGCATATTTATTTTAACATATAGTTTCACTAATTACCAGAAATGTCATATTTGTGATACATTACCAAATTATTAGCAAATAAAACTGGCTTAGAAAGTTTCATAGTTTTTGTTTCTTAGGCAAACTCAATCAACTAAATCATGAATACATTTGCAATGAATTAAAAACAGAATTTTTCAAGTAGACATTTATGCCCAAAATGTGGAGATTTACTTTAAAATTCTATCACCATAAATTATCATGCAGACACTTTAAAATAATTGTCATTTCCTACCATGTAATTGTATGCTTTTAAATTTACTCTGAGTAAATTATGACAAGTACTAACAAGCACGATGGAGAGAAGAGTTATGGAAAAGCCCTTATTCCAAAATAAATATACTAATAGAGTAAAGCCCATATCTAAAATTATCCACACTTTGTTTTAGCATATAAATGTAACATTTGAGGTGTTAATAAAATATTTAATAGGACTGAAACACACATACTGGCTCAAGAAAAATCTCTGTGTGTGTGTGACACACAGAGAGAGACAGAGACAGAGAGAGGGAGAGAGAGAGAGAAAGAGAAAAACATTTATTTACACATTTACACTATGAGCACTGCAGGCTTGAAATAGCAAAACAAATCAAAATTGTAGTAATACGGATTAAGGATTCAAGCTGCTTGAATCCTCCTTTTGTGCCTAAAACCACCTAAAGCTCTCAAAGATATTTGAAACAATCAGTTCACATAAGTTTGTCTACAGAGTATTTTCACTTTGGGAACTTTCCAGGTTTCAGGAATGCCCCGCTCTAAGGGGGAGCCAAAGCATTGTTTCCGGATTGTATCAGCAGCTGTGTTTTTTGTTCTAATTAGTGGCTAATAAATTCTAGTTATATCTCCATCAAAATTTTAACCCTTCCTATAACATGCCAAAATTCTGTGTCAACCAAAATGAAATTTGCCTTCCCACTACTCTCAAATATGCAAGGCAACACAAAGAGAGATTTTGGTGATAGTAGCTGTGGAACCGGGACTGGCCAAAGGGGGAAACAAAAAGGATCAAAAGAATATATATATTTTTTTCCTTTCAGTGATCCTCCAGGTGGAATAATATCCTCGCCAGCTGAATATAAATACAAAACTTCATTCCCTAGGGCTTTTCCCCCAAGAGCAATTTTCATCAGAATCTAATTGCAGCAAAACACCTACTTTCACACAGAAGCCCCCCCAGGACACACACCCTGGACTTTACCTGTTTTTATGCCGAGTCTTTAGCAAGTTTCTTCCAAAGGGAGCCATGGTCCGCCAGGCAAGCGAAGAGAAGGGGCCGAATCTCAAAGTTATCTGGGGATGGGGGTGGGGTATCTGCCGTATCTCAAAGTTATCTGGGGATGGGGTGGGGGGGGTATCTGGATTTCTAGGTGAAGGGAGGAGGATTGAAAGTTTCCTCTTCACCTCCTCAAACGTTCCTGGCTTTCAGCTCATTAGCAGCCGGCGAAGAGAGTTGCTAGAAGTTGTGCAACTGCTGCCTAACTTAGAACTGCTGGATTGTTGTGGCTGCTGCACCTTTGGAGACCTGCCCAGCTTCAGCCTCGAAGAAGGCGTTTGGAAGCAGGAAAAGAAAAAAAAGAGAGAGAGAGCGAGAGAGAGAGAGGAAGGGAGGGGGACTCTATTGTTTTCGGTAGTTATTTGCAGACTTGCTAAACTTTAAGAACTGCCAACCCGACGGGCATGGTAATACCCATGGAATGGGAATTTCACTCCATTTGGAAACCCCCCCTCCCCCGCTTTCCACACCCAATCACACAAGGTGAACTAAACACATAAAAGGATTAAAAGTAAATACCCCTACCTCGCAACCAGCTCCAGTCTGTGAAAAGTAATGTGATCGTGGCAAGCAAGAGTGAGGGCCAAGAACTTTTTGTCTAGCGATCCGGCACAAAAATCCCCTCCCGTGGCGGGGGGAGGGGGGGTGGCAGGGCTGTAAAATATGTTGAGGAGGAGCGAAGCCGAAGACTGAATCAAGGTGGACTCAGAGGTCACTTGGAAATTGGAGCCTAAGTGTATCCCCAGTCCACTCCTCCACACGTTTCAAGTTCATTTTCCAAAAGTCGAAGGAGCTGAAGGACCAAAGGGCTCCGAGGCTGACAGACGACAGCATCGGCAGTAAGAACCAGCCGGGATTTGGGGTCCGACTCCCGAGGCGTTAACACAGACCCCTGCCGGGTCTTTGGCATTTACTGAGCCTTTGGGGCAGGCGAGTTTGAAGGAAGAGCCAACTGTTCGCTCCTGCCTCTCAACTCGTGAAGTGAGAGGAAGCGCCTGGAGGACTTCATGGAACTCGAAGTGTGCAGTGAAGGTCGAGGGGTGAGAGCGGGCATCACCTGGTCCCACGCGATCTCGAACCCACGACCCGCGCAGCGGGGGCAGAGAGGGGCGAGCGGACGTCAGTGCTGGCGGCCAGGCACAGTCCCCACCCAGCTCTCCTGCGCCCGCCACGCCGTGGGAAAGCGCCATCCAGGGGCCAGGGCCCGGAGAATTTTCCCAGGTCTTTTTTCCTAGGATTTCGGCCCCCAGACCAACTCCCTCCCCGTCTGCCCTTCCCCTGCGTCTTCACCTTTCCCCCTTTCCCACCCTGCTGGGCAACGCCAAGCTTCCAATCTTTGGTTTCCGCGGGTAGGGGAGGGAGCGAGGGAAAGGAAATCAAAGCACTATGAGTTCACTCTGACTCACACTTCAAGCTAGTGGATCTCTGGATCTTGACAGAGAACAGGAATGGCACACACTTTCTTTATGAGTCCCCCTCACCCCCAACAACAGCAAACAAAAAGTGATCTTAACGGTTTCTGTAATTCTTATATGCATCAATTTAGGCAAGATTCTACAGAGCTCAAAAAAATCATTTTTTCCAATATTTACTATCATAATTCCCCTCTAGTTCTCCATATTGTATATATGTGTATTTCTATATGTAAATATACATGTATTTTATGTGACAGTATTTTATTTTAAACCTGTTATGTATTGTTTATAATTGTTCATAAATATTATGTATAAATCCCAATTTGTTATAAATCAGAAAACATTACAATAACCAATGCCTTAATTCAATGACCTTTTTTTCAATTACTGGAAGAATGGATAAGTTTAAGAAAATATACCCATCGTTTAAATGGATCTATAGTAGTGTTACCGGAGAAAATCTTTAAAATATGAAAAGCAGTGATGATATATTTTGTTTTATACATATATATTACATACATATATACACACACACATTATATTTAATATAAATAGTGTTGGGTATACTTCGGTTTTGGTTTTTATTTTATGTTACAAGCACGTCACAAAAACAATGATTTAAACTATTATGGAAGATTGCCCAGTTATTCTAAATTGTTCAAAATATAATCCCCTAAAGCTATACTGTTTACTTATTAATATAATGATTGCAATCAATTTACAAAGAATTTTGCATTTACAAATATCCCTCTGTTCCTTCTAGTTTCGGTTCTCCACCCTTATTAACATTACTTGTATATATAGTTTTCACATAAAACATTTTTCATTAGGAGAGTTTTAATGAAACAAGAGGAAACAACATTACATCTTTATTAGCATAATTTTACGTTGAGTTTCAAGTTAGTACAGATGAATCTTATTTAGGATGTTATTATTCCTCACATAAAATACTCCATTAATACTATTTATGACAAGCTCTTTGATGTGTAAGAATAAAACACAAAGGGTTAATGTCCCTTAGATATTAAAAGCTGAAAGGAATAGAACACCTGGGCACTAATATCTAAATAGAAAAATAAGCAGATAACAATTTTAAAAGAAAATAATAAAACCGTGTTTTAAAATATCAACTTTATAAGTAACCAGATATATATAGGTAAATTGAAATGAGGTTTAATTTTGCATCTACCAAATTGCATGATTTTTAGAATGATGATGCCCAACTCTGTCAGTATGATGGTCAGAGTAGACTTCTCTACATGAGTAGTACAGATAGCCACATCCCTTATAGAGATGAATTTGGCTCTATATATCAGTAACCTTCAAAATATTCAAACTCCTTTATCTAAGTTTATTCTCATAAGAATGTTTTCCAAGGAAATAATCAGTTACCTAAAAAGCCTTATGCTTATTGATATTCATGAGAACTTAATGAAATATTGCATACAAAGTGTTGACATATAGTATTAGACAAAGTACTATTTTTTGTACAGGGTAAAGAATAATATAAAAAATTATCTCAACTTGAAGGTAAGGTAAACTAATGAATGTATGTCCTTTCAATGATATAGTGGAGCATTGTCTAACAGTTCCTCCCAAAGATTATCCAATTCTCTGGAATAATGCATTTTTTAACATACTATTTACTATTGATTAGGCCCAAATTCTATGAAATTAGATGTTAAATTACTTTTTAAAAAAGGTAAATTGCAAATGATTTTTGTTCAGAAAGCAAGACAAATGATTTTGTCTGGTAGAAAGATACCACAAAATGTTATGGTTTTATTGCCGTGTACGATATCAACCAATTTGATACTCAACCTATTTTTATTTCAGCCTTCTTTCTTTAATTCACTAACTATATATAGCAGTCTTTCCTATCCACCTTTGGACCAGCTTTGCAATTCTACCAGACCCCTCATTAAGAAGTTAAATCTTTGACATTTGCCCACTATATATTTCTATGAGATTCATACATTTCAGTTTTTTGAAAATTATGCTTTTAATAAGTCTGAGCTTGCATCAGTTTTTTTCTGAACCAGTAGGAAGTCTTCACAGAAGAAAGATGGTTACTTATCTTAAAAGATTTAATGTGTAAAAATGAGTTTTGATGGTAGAGAAGAGTTAGAATGTCCTTTCACTCATCTATGAATATGAAGCTCAGCCAAAATAAATAGATGTCTATTTCCTTACATATTTAGATTAACATATGAAAAATCAACATGGAAGATGGTGCATTATACTTAATAAAAGAATGAATGAATATTATTCAATCAAAGGAGGATTATGTAATTTGTGGTTGAGTTAATATCAATAGCTTAGCAGTGTTAGAGCATGTATGTTGAGGAAAAACCCTGTTTTGAAAGAGAAAATTAAGAAACAAATAAACAGAAAATGAGTGTATCAATTCTCGTTCTAGTTTATTCATAGACCCAGCCTCTCTTTGTATTAGGAATTTTTTTAATTGAAATTTTCCCCATTATATTGAGATATAATTGGCATGCATCACTGTAAGTTTAAGGTGCATAGCATAATGGTTTCACTTAACAGATATTGTGAAATAATTACCATAATAACTTTAGTTGCCAACCATCATCTCATACAGACACAACGAAAAGAGAAAACAAAAAAAGAAAAATGAATACTTTTCCTCATGATGAGAACTCTTAGCAGTTGCTCCCTTACCAACTTTTATGTATTTCATACAGCAGCGTTAACTGTAGTCATCATGCTGTACTTTCTATCCCCAGTACTTATTTATCTTGTCACTGGAAATTTGTACCTCTTGACCACCTTTTTCCAACCCCCCCATTTGTCTCCACTGCCCCCACTTTACTTCTCATAACCACATTCAAGGCTTTTTGTTATTATATGAACTTTTCTGTCTTTTAGCTTTAACCCACATGACTTTATTAAAAGGGTAGTAGATATGAGTTTTGAAGCTACGTAGACAGGGATCCATGTCATAGCTCTGTCATTTTCTGGTAAAGATCTTGGATAAATGACTTAACCTAAGCTTCAGTTTTCTGATCTCCAAAATGAAAAAAAAATGATAGTAATACATTCTCATTTTCCATTAGATGTTAAGTTTAAGGGGATTTTTTTTTCAAAAATATTGTTTTGTGCCAATGTGTTGTATTCTTATTATCAGAAATTTATTCTTCACATTTTAATGATTATTTTGGCTTACTGGTATAATTATCATACACATCTGTGCCTGTAAGAGCCAGTTTTCCCCAGGGCCTGCATAAAAAGCACAGCAGAGCTCAGGTTCTACATCATGGATTATACAGATACTTGACTTTGAGCTGATTTGTCACCACTTACATGGTCATCTGTGAGGAAATAACACACTATATGGCTTGTTATAATCAATCAGTTTATCTGATTTACTCAAAATCCAACTCTCAATTAATGGAGAAATAGTAAGATACAGAACCTGTTTTGTTTGGACAATTGAGGACTCAGAAATAATTAAACCTGGCCAGAAGAGTAAAATCAGAACTGGGATGAGAACTCCAAAGGCATTATTATTAATATAATTATTATTATTCTAATGAGTGTCTGTCTTCTGAAATTCTTTCCTAGCTTAAGTTTGTTCATGGTAATAGAAATCATGTCTAAAAATTGGAATGAATGTAACTTCTCACAGAATCTTTTTAATAATGTGTGTTGGTGTCATGGGTTGTGAAATAACCTATCTAAAATGTTTTGAGTGTGGAAGAAATAACTATGTTGTATGGTTTAGGAAAAGCCCAG